AACGTGTCAAACAAGGGGTCATCTGGCAGGAGCACAAGGAAGAACTGAAACGCTTCCAGGGCAAGGACCTGGTTTTTGAAGCTCGCATGCGATTCTTAGAAATGTTGCGACCTGAGACGATCCAAGGTTTTCGGAGGGCTGCCACCCGTTCATGCGCAACACAAGTAAGATGAAGAAGATGGTGTTAGTCTGACAGTGACTTGGTTTTCCTGTTGTTGAAAACGAAAATGACTTGTTGAGCGGCATTGATTATGAGTTTGGCCAGCATACGAGGCGGCAAAGTCGTGGCACATCATAGCATCATGCTTGACGATTGCATGATCGACGGCAAGGCTTTTTTGGGAATGCCCAGGTCGAAGTACCGTGTGCTCAACAGTTGGGGAGCAACTCCAGCTACAGGGTCAGGTCATGTGACGGGGCTTGAAAGCCGCCTTTATAGCAGCTCGACTGTGGGGTATTTGGGTTATTCAATCAACTAAGAAAGTCTGTGTACTGTTAGTATAGGTATTATTATCAGTGTTATTAACGTTGTTATTACAGTTATTCCTCTTAATTTTTCATGTCATTATCATAGTTAATATGATTATTCTCATTTCTATTACAGCTGCGGTCTATCTGGGACCCAAACGCTACATGGCGTTTCCATTCGTTTTCATTTCTTTACTGGCAACCAGTAAGTTCACACCCCAGAACATCCCAGTGCCCATTCGATTTCCATGTGCGGCGTTTCCAGTCTCTACTAAGCCTTCAACCCGGAATAGTAACCGTTGTGTTAATTCCCTGCGTTAACTAGTAACTGGACGTCCTGAGGCCTGTTGATGAACGGGCCAAGCTGGTCCCTGGATGGCTGGAGGAGGACCAACCGCTCCTTGGTTGCAGATCTGCTGGAGGTGGGTATGTTTCTGAACGTAGACTAAACTTTGGAAAGCTTTGAACGGCAATTTAGGCTTTGGCACGAGGGCTCGATTCCGCTCTCTTCAGTGCCCCTTGGCTGCATCTACGTTTTGAGACACAGGGCTTCAAGGAATTATGCAAACTGGAACGTGGTTTAGAGTCTTTTGCTATTGCTGTTGGGTTTGTACACCTGTTGGACAGATCTCAGTAGCTACCACTGTATGCCACAGGCTACAAACAGAACGCACGCAATGCTTCCGGCAAAGATTATATAGATTTGGGCAACTGCTACAGCAACCTTGGAGGCTTGATGAGTCGTATGTGGCGCCTATGCCAGCCCAAGCCCCTGTGGTGCCTTTGCAGGGGCCCCAGTTGCTTTGCCAACTGTTTGTGGGACGTTGAGCCTATGTGCTGCTAGATTCAAGGCGAGGGAGCAAGCAAAGGATCGCCTTGAAAGACAGCTGCAAGGGTTCGTTCAAGGAACTGGAGTATTAGTAGAAACACTGGTGTTTACAAGGAGTACAGGCAGAGCAGTGATATCCTTCATAGGAGTGATGTTGCACAAACAAAAAGGCGGACCAGCTATTAAACTTCGCAAAGGCCTCAACATGCTTTGAAGCCCATGCTCTGTGTGTTGGGTTAGTGTTGTTATTGACAAGGATCGACTTTTGGAGTATTCGTGATGTGTAGTATGCTGCCAATCCTTCAGGAGCTGTAGTTTCCGGGTTTGGAGGCTACATGCTTGGGATTGTTTTGCATTGGAACTGGCAAATAGCAAGCGGTCACTTGGATAGGTGATGCCCTAAACGTGGGCGGGGGCTGATGATGCTCGTAGTGCTGGCTTTTCTTCAGGTTCATGTTGGACTCCAGGGGGATGTTGCCAGAAAGCATTCAGATTTCTACCGTGTTTCCAAAGGTTGTTATTTGTAGAACTATAGAAACAAACGGCTGGTGCCTCTACCCGGCGGGAAGAGCGTCGAGCATTTGTGCATTTACGAGTGGTCAGACAGGTGCTACATATCTTGGTCAGTTGGGCCTGGACTTTTCTGACGAAGCGTCTGTGCTCGATGAGTTGTTGCTTCGCAATTGCGACTGGCGACGGGGTGTGCGGCACCGGTCATGGTGCCCTTCTCGTGTTGGGTCCTAAAATCTAAACACTCACCAAAAACCCTAAACTCCGAAACCTAAAGCCCTAAAGAGCAAAAACCTGCACCTTTCCGCTGTGGTCCTAGGCCCGCTTTGGAGGATGGTCCTGCGGAGAGCCGGCCAGCCTCGTCACGACAGCCTGTTTCCCCAAGTACCGCGGAGCCGTTGGGGCGCCCAGAGGCTTTAGGATCTACGGGAGTTATGGGTTTAGGGTTTAGGGGTTGGGAGTTTAGGGTTTTAGGGGTTTAGGGTTTACGGTTTAGGGTATTATTACCCACAATGGAGAATCAAATGAACAGCAAAAAGGGAACGACTACTTGTGGGGAGTATAATCGGATATTTAGGTATATTCCCCCAACACTGGGGAATCAGATGGAAAGCAATTGGAAGCGAAAATGGGTCAAGAAAGAATGAGGGAGGGTTCTGAAAACATGAGAGCTCCCTCAAAGGTCCCGATAGCCGGGTCTGTAATCCCCGCAATTTTGGCCAGGTCCGGGGGAGCCCTAATACCGATTCAACCCGGACTTCTAGAAGCACAATCATTCACTATGAGGTTTTACAGGTTTCCTTGCATAGGGAGCAGGCTGAAATGGAGATTTATTGCAGCCTTTGCACAAGGTCTCCAGCGGAAACCAGCCAAACAGGTTTCTTCTCTTTCCGCCGTCGCTATTGAAATAAGCTGCTGTTGCCATCTCTTGGCCAGAAGCTTTATGAATAGCCATGGAGCTGTGAATGCTGAATTTGCTGCGTACTTCTGACTACTAGCACTTGCACTGCCCGTGCTACTGGAACTACTGACAAAAAGGCCACCTTTTGCTGTCTTGATTGTATTGAACGTCCTGCTCGGTCTCGGGCCCCTGATGCCCGTCCACCCTGAGTATGCTTTTGGTCTGGGTTTGTGAGGGTAGTTGGGTTCTTGACCATGTCACAACCTATTCCATGACTCTCTGCCCAGCCACTTTTAGAGTGGGGAGAATAGAAAAAATGGAAACTATTATAATGGGTTATGCAATACTCTACAACCCCTATATCAGACACCTGTATATGTAGTAGTTTCCATTTTCGTTTCCATTATCCCTAAACCCTACACCCTAAATCCTACCTTTAAACCCCCAAAAACACCATTAGAGTAATTTCCATTTTTTTCCATTATCCCAAAGTCCTAAACCCTACCTTTAAACCCTAAAGAACCCATTATATAACCCCCATATAACCCCAATATATACCCTATAACCTCTATAATCCCTGTAGTTTCCATTTTCTTTTCCATTATCCCAAAGGAGGCCCACGGATGAGCCCGCGCCGGAGCCGAGCTCCGCGGCGGGCATCGAGGAAGGAGGGATCCTTGACCTGCAGGGATATACTACAATATGCTATAATACATTTTAATATATTATAATATACTAGTATATTTATATACGTTAATATACTATATACTATAAGATATTTTAGTATACTATAATATACTAATATATATATATATATTGATATAATATAGTATATACTACAATGTATTGAAATATACTATATACTACAATGTACTATAGTAATTGTAGCAATTGTAGCTGTCAGGAGACAGGAAAGGAAAGATGATGGATGCTTTTTGATTTGTTGTCAAAACGTGCAATGCTGCTCGAAGTTACTTCCTACACCTTGGTGCAGAGGAAGTTTTGAGAGTCTCTTTTGTGGGTCCGTGGCACCAAGGACTGAAAGACACGCACTGCGTGAATCCCAGGCTGGTGCAAGTTGCCATGTGCATGGTTCATCTTCTTGCCGTGTATCAGCCATGGTTGGAGAGCCCCAAATGAACTGAAGCATGCAGGGCTCTACAGATTTTGTAGCATGAAGTCCAGCTTTACTTATTCCCCACCTCCACACTGGGCTGCTAGATTTTTCGGAGATATTCTCTGCACGTCTGCCAGAGAGTCCTTATGGTGTCCAGCCGCGAATTCCACGAGGCTTGTCCAGAAGCTAAAGTTTGAAAGGCATTCTGGTCCTAGGTGGGCTGGGCCCGTAGCTCTGTGCTAGGCCGTGTCTGAGTTGGAGGCAGTGCAGGATGTTCTGCCCTCAGCATACCAAGTTTGCCCTTGACTGCCGCAACAACAAATCCGAGTTGTGCTTGTGGGTGCAGTGGTGCCCGAATACAAGTGCACTTCGCCAGACAGTTGTGCCCATTCGCCGCATGACTTCACGGCAAGCCTTGCCACTTGCCGCTTCTAACCTTCTGGCACGGAGCAGGGTGCAGGGGTTTAGTGGTGCACCTGGATCCTGTGTAAGATGCACTCCCGCCTACAAGTCTCTGCTCCTTGCTGTCCCAAATCGTTCACCCTGAATTCGTGGAGTGTGCTTGCAGGTCCGTGGTATTCTGGAACGCGTGGGGGGTCAAGACTCCAAGTGATGCGCACAGGTTTTCCATCTTCAATCCTCAGCAGTGCAGACTTTATCAGAATGCAAACTATCACTTTCCAAGGGCAAGCCTTGAAGCGGCACAAAGCCTTCACATGGTCGGACGTGTAGTCAGCCTCGATCACTTGCACGTGTTTCACCAGTGGGTAACATGCCTGCAAGAACGGATATTGCCAAAGATGCTCTGCAAGTTTGAAAAAATGTTGCACTCTGGCACTTGCAAGTAAGGAGTGGGAGTTCGGAGGGTCTCGTGATTCAAGCCTAAACAGATCTACTTGAAACTTCGGATTTCCTAGAGAGTTGAATCTTCTCGAGGGGGAAGTTTGCTGGCTTCCTGCTGGTTTTCTCTCCGGAACAGCTGAATACGCCTGGCCATTCAAGCAGGTTGCAAGAAACTCGAAGCATCAAGAAGCAGTTAAATAGCGACGAAAGTGAATAGTGTGCACAGTGGCATTCATAGGATCTTCCCTTTAGCATTTTTTGCAGTGATAGGTACCTTCCAATCAGAAAGGTCAGGGTGTGTACAGGCAGATTCTGTTTTGAAGGCAGTCACCATGGAGTCCAGCCAAGGGCACAATCGCGAGGTTTGCTTGTTGACCTGTGCCGTCCTTGCTGCTGGTGTTGCCTTTGCTGAACGGCGCCGGCGCCTAAGGGCAGAGCTCGAAGCTGAGCAGCAGTTGCAACGGCTCCGCGAGGAAGCAGCGCGGAGCCAGAAGCTGCGAGACGAAGAGCGCACCGGCCGAATCCGTGCAGAACAGGAACTGCGGCGCGGCCAGGGCCGTGCCGACACATTCCAGGACCAAGACCCTTTCCTCTTCCATCCCATTGGAACTTTCCAGTCTTGCTACCGGCAGCGATGTGGCACCCCGCGACAGAGCAACTTGGTAGCCGGAAGCCTGGCCGTGCTTCGCTGTGTCCGAGACCTGAATCCAGGAGCAGCCCTTGAAGGCCTGGCCGACTTTAGCCACGTTTGGGTGCTTTATGTTTTTCATGAGAACACCAACATGCTCAAGGAGTCCAAGAGCATCTCACGTCGCAAGCAACAGCAGGGCCGCGTGCCCCTCTGGCAGGGCCTCTGCATGAAAGTGGCACCTCCACGCTGCCCGGAGCTACGTGTTGGAGTCTTGGCTTGTCGGACCCCACACCGGCCGAACCCCATAGGCCTGTCCTTGGCGCGTGTTGTGGATGTGGATGTTGCAGGGGGCACGCTGGTGCTCGGAGGCCTTGATGTTGTAGATGGCACTCCGTGTCTGGACATCAAACCTTACCTGCCAGGTTTTGAGTCCCTTCCCACTGCACGGGTCCCTGGGTGGGTGCAGCAGTCCTACGATGAGCCCATGATGGAGGTAACGTGGTGCGGGGAAGCCTCAATGCAGTTTGCCAAGCTCACTGGCATGGACGACAGTGACATCAGTGACAAGGTGTCACTAAAGCCGTTTAAATCGGCTCAAGAGCTACAGGCGGCCATTGCAGACACGCTGGCCCTGGACATTCGTTCACCCCTTCAAAAACAGAGACATCCAAATCCTGGACATGAGGGCGCAGAGAACGCGCCGTTCTTTACAGGCGACCTCTGGTTCCACGAGCTGCACGTAATCTACTCTCTGCTGCCCCGAACTGGCGAGGGCCCCGGTGCCTCAGTGCGGATCGAGCAAGTGCAGCGGAGGCAGGCAGAAACATGTCCGGTGCGCACTGCGTGAAAGCTGCCCCATCGCATGGTATCGCATGGTGCTGGTGGCCTGCTGTATTGATGTATTCGCATGTGATCTTGAGATGGTTGAGAACCTTTGTTAGCTTGGCTCAAGGGGAGAGCTTAGTTTCGCGGCAGTCCTCCTGCGCTGAGAGGCAAAGAGTTTCTGGGAATCAAGGGTTTTCCGATGATGTGGTTCAATTTCGGTAGTGCGGTTGCCTAATCTTTGCCGAAGGAGGGTATCAGTTCAAATGCAGTGAGCGTGTTGGGCAGTACCTCACCATGGCAGTCACGCATGAACACCGATGAGTCACGAGTTCGCAAGACGAAGGCCACTTGCGGCCGATTTGGTAGCTAGAACCGGGACACGTGGCACTTAACTTCAGACGCTGCATCAGTTCCCCTGATCACCACACAAGCCCTCCATTTTAGCCTGAACAAAACATCCATTTCCGTTCAGTCGGTCTGAAATCTGCTTGAATTGGATGAAGAGTCCGATGCCAATCCCTGCAGCGTGGAATCCCAAGGGCCAAGTCGCAAAAGCTGAGAACTTAAAATCCCTGAGAGCCTGCCAGCATGTACCACTGTCCTAGTTAGGTTATCACGTGTGTGCTAGCAAGTACGGAAAGCTTCTTCACCTGTGCTTGTGCAGGCTGCGCTCCTGGTCGGGCTCGGCATGAGCTCGTCCAAGGCTCGAGTGGCAAAGCAAATGGGCCGTGCAGCGGCAACCAAAATTGTGGATAATTATGTTTTGGAAGAAGTTGAGAAGTTTGGCTCAACTGCTGCTATCTCGACCTCTGCAGGAGAAATTGCCGGCGATTGTGAAATGGCTTCCGATCTCCTGGCAGAAGAAATACGTCAAAGTCAAGCCGCCGCATACTTGGACAACCTTACTTTCACCAGGTATCTGATGTTCGAATGCCACATGCCAAGCGGTGCGCCAGAGTGCATTCAAACAGGCACGAACTGCCTCTGTTTCATCAAACACCTGCATGCCTTGTGAGAGCCCATTGTATTCATGTCCTTACAGTCTGCCTGCGTCCAGCTGCCTCGTTGGGGGTCCTCAGGTGGTTTCCGTGGAACTTCCACGTGAAGGCGAAGCCGGCGTGAGCCCTGGCAGCCCGCAGCGTTGTGACTCACAATGGCAATGTGGGTGGTTGTCAAAATTA